TGAGTAATGGGTAAATGAAGATGCTAACAAGAAAGGATGAGAGTTACCATGGCAACTATAGGGACAGTGATCTTAGGTCCTTGGGATTCTAATTTACCAAATCTCTAAGAAGACAGCAGATGCGATAAATGTAATTCAATTCCCACTGTTAACTAATGCAAGAAATAAATTATTACAAGATAATTTCCATGAACCATAACCAATCTGGAATCAGAAATCAGCCTTTTCTTTTCCTATTTTTACTTACTGGACAATGACAGAAAGTCACAATTAAATAGCTCACTGGCGAGTTCTGTTACAGGAAACTTGTAGGCTACCGCAAAAAGAACTACAACATATTGAAATCCCTCAAGAATTTAATTCAAAGTTGGGTGTGTGCTAGAGACAGAATCTTAGCTGCACACACGCCAAGCACACACTTAGTGCTGACCTACATCTTAGTCAGGCCTTAATTTTTACTTTAAGATTGAGACAAGAATGACATTGTGTTTAAGAGTTATACTGATTGGAGCAAGCACAGAATAGTGGGATCACTGTGCGGTTTAATTGTGTAGACTTGAGTCAATGGTTTGACCTTTGCAAGGCTGGAAGCTTCAATTTATCTCTTCTCTAAATATACTTACACTAAGAAATGCCATTGGAAGTATTTTGTGAAGATGAATGTCAGCTAAGAACTACGAGGCTCCCGGGTAAGAGATGAAACAGCATTCCAAATAGCTTGGCTACAAGCTAATGAAAAGTTAATGTCACTTAAAAACCACACAGCTATCTGGGACAGATTCATAGATGACACATTGGTCTCATTTCTTTTTTAACATTATGTTTTAAACTTGAAAAATAGGATCTAGAAAAGCCTTTGAAAGCTACAGTGGCCAAGATCATCTATATTCTTCTTGCTTTGGCAAGAAAATCCTTATGAACTCTGAAAAATACTAGATTTCATAGCAAAAATAATCTGCTTTTAATCATGAAAACAGTTGACGCTCTTTTCTACTGATAAGGCGCAAAGGATTTCGGCTGAGATGTACGCTTGCTGGGCCTCTCACGTGCCGTTTATCTGTTAGCAGATTTCTTCCTCCATGGCGTTTGCACGTACTGATGCTCAAATAAATTATTCTGGCGATGGGCTTATTTACTATGCTTGGGCCAAGTAAGATAAACACGTGAAAGAAAATTAAAACAAGGGGTTTAAAACAACACCTATTGTGAGTGTAGAGTTTGAAAGAACCGATGTCCAAATATTCTAACAAAATTCCATAAATTGTGCTAACCGCTTCTTCAGCTTCATGATGGTGGTACCCTTTTCCTCCAGAGAGCCCTTCTTCAGGAACAGGGTTTAACTGAGCCTATGTGTTGCATTTGTGTGTTGCAGGTCAATCACAGCACACAAGGAAAGTGTTCATTAGAGTTTTAACCAACAGGACCTACACAGGAGAATTACAAAACTTATTTTTGTGTCCAATGTCACTAGCAGCAACCGTTCATATTTTTGGTAGGGTTTTGAATGACATCTGACCCGTTTTGGCTCCTGGAAATCAATGCAAAGCATGGGAAGCCAGCTTTCCGAGTTGGGAACCAAAGATTTTTAGGAACTTGTTGAATGGGTAATGTGACAGGGATGACATTCTGGGGCCTGGGTCATTAGGGGACTTAGAGATAAATTCACACATCCATTTCTTTTGTAGATAAAGATATACCTCAAGCCCAGAGAGGAAAGGTTCTTCAAAGAACGGACTATCACCTCCAGAGTTGAGGATGTTAGCTAGCAGTGACTGCGTTTCTGAAGCAATACATGACGTGATGTGACTTCCTCCTCCTACCCACGCTTCTATCATTCCTACTCATTTTATACTGTGTGGAAGGTGGGCTGGGGAGATTCCAGCTTCCTGTATATTAATTTTCATCCTATGTTGACTATTAGGGGATCTTCTCTTTGCTTGAGTCGAAGTGCAGAGTCTCCTAAAAACATGTTAGTATATTCATAGATGCAGATTTTGAGCATCTATTAATAACATTGACTTCAGTTACCTTGTCTAGTTAGCACTATAAGGCCTCTTGCCTTTTATACCAGGACCATAAGAATGTTGCATACAGGCTAGGAGGTAATGTTCCTGCTGTGCTACCCCGCTGCCACTTTTCACAGGCTCCTTAGTATTCCTTTACAGGCTGATGCCAGGTTAGACTTTCATACCGTGCTACTGCTATGTAAGCCTTTTTACTCAGCACAATATAAAGAATCGGAAGATCATGACATAAATCCGTGTTACTTAGTCTCCATCAGTTAACTGCATAGGTGGACATTCAAAGCTTACTTAAAACACACCATTTGCACAGACCTGGTACTGAAGAGTCACCCGGTGGGTACTAAGTACATTATTCTTTCCACACTACACCGCAGCCTCCAATGGGCACTGACCTGTATCCATGTGACTATATCGGGATTATCGTTAGCATTATTGAAAATAAGTAACAGATACATAGCACAATAAGGAAATAAATGTCCAGGTTGCTAATCAAAGTGACCAATATTTATTTTTACAAAATAAATGAAAAATAGGTCACCATCACCAATTTTGTCAAACTGAATGGCTTGTAAATGGTTTGGTGGGAAATAAACAGTTTTCTTCTGTCCAGCTCAACAGAAAACCATTTTTCCCTGTCTGGTTATTTTCCAAAGTTTCTGATGGCTTAGAAATCACACCTTCTCTTACCTGTCATCATAAAATGACTTTCTAGGCATCAAAAACGCGACTTTGGAAAAAAATGAAATTGTAACATGGGAGAAAACATTTTGTTAAGGTAATGACAGGATACTGAGGTTCTTTCAAGAAACTATGATGTCATTGCGAATGTTCTTCTTTAGAAAAAGACATTCTAGAAGTTTAAGCCACTCAGACCCTCCAACCTTCCAACTGTAGGATTATTGCCAGCTTCGCTCTTACTGTCAGAGACTGGCTGTCTTGGTGGAGAAGAATCCTTCCACACTTATCGTCCTAAAGATGATCTAGCTGCCATGACACTTTTAAGAACTAGTGAGGATTAAGGGGTGTCCTGCCCACAGTCTTTTAGTTCCAGGTCCAGGAAGTTGGAAAAATGAACTCTGACTGCCTTGTGCTCATATCTTTACAAATGTGGGATGCAGGCTTCCCACTGTTTTAGAGAAAACACATTTAAAACTCTGCGAAGATATATTGCAATACATAAAGCTGTGACTGTTCACTGCGGCTTCCTTGACATGTAATTTAAACTCGGGGACTAGGACAAGAGAATGTCACATTCCTGTCTCTTTCTAAGGAAATTGCGCATTTCCTTGTAAAAATAAAAAAAATATGAAGTCTTCAAAAAGGCAGTTTTCAAGTTGTGTTCTCTCAGGCTAAAGTTTTCTATAAATTTTCATGATGGCTCTCAAAGGTGGACAGAGGAAAAACAAGACAAAAGACAAAGCAAAACATTAAGCACGCATGCCAGTTTGGTCTTCACCAATGTCAAAAACATTCCAAGTTATGCAACCTTCAAAACTTCCTTATAGCAAGTACTTTTAAAATTTTTGATCATGTTTCTCCTCTATGACATGCAGTTTTATATAAAAAAAAGTCAATCTTCTAACTTTTCCAGGATTGGGGAGAGGGGAGAAAAATGTACATTTTACTGGAGTGTAAATGGGGCCCTAGCATTGGCTATGGATGGGAACTCAGTATTTGGTTTATGTAGTAAGGGTACTATGAGCCTTGATGGGGAATATTAATTTTCCTTGGAATCTGAGTAATTCGGACCCGTCTCTTTGAAATACAGATCAGTCAAACCTTTAGCTTTCCACTAAAATAAAATATAGGAATGGTTTAATAGTAATGACAGACATTTTATAAAGGCTTTTTAATACATTAATCCCTGCATGGACCTTTGAGGCAGGAATTGAGCTAGTCTCCTAATATGGGGGCAGGAAAGGAGGACAGAGAATTCAAAGACTTTGACAGAATCCTCACAGCATCGAAGTGCGGGGCTCCTATTCTTAGCTACTTTGTAGGCTTAAGAGGTCTTAAGAGAGAGAAAGGAAGATGGACAAGATGAAAAGGCCAAGCTCAAGTCTGTTCTTTCAAGGAGAGCTGGGGTCCTTGTGGGATTTCAGAACTTGGTCCAGGGTCCAGGGCTTTAGCATATTCTGGAAGCTGAGTAGATGAGTTACAAGCTTTCTAAGGGCTGGGTCCAGGTTTCAGAGGGAGACAGGAAAGTCCCAAGCTCAGCTTCCTAGACCCTGGTGAACTGGGACAGCTCTGGGTTGTGTTAGCTACCACGGTGGCTTTGTTCATCTCTGTAGTGGTTCCAGACTAGAGATCTGGTAAGCATGTTAAGGGCACAAATACCAGGCTTACCTGTGGGATAACATTAGATGTTTTCTACAAATGATAATATGCTATGGAAATAAATAAACAAACACATGTAAAGAGGTGTGTGTGTGTGTGTGTGTGTGTGTGAGAGAGAGAGAGAGAGAGAGAGAGAGAGAGAGAGAGAGAGAGAGGAGGGGGGGGAAGAAAGATTTGTACTTTGATCCCCTTCATTATTAACAGCACACCAGAAATTAATAGTACCGGTGTATGGAAAGCTTATTTCAATCCCAACTTTGCCTAACAGTGAAAATAGCTTGCACTGGTTCAAAAGATTTTAATGTGTTCTCATTATATAAATAACTTTTGTTAATCACAGAAATGGCACATATTAATTTACCCATGATCAGAACAAATGTTTGAATGTTAAGTACAGCCTCTCCTCTCGCCCCTACATCGTTAGAACAACTTAACAAAATGGAATACATCCAAAACACTTACAGTGGAAAAATTTCAGTTTGGGAATCACTGCTTCTTTAAAACCAACTCATCTGAACATTTGTTCCATGGCTTTCTCGTATTTGCAAACATACAAGCTGATTAATAACACCCTAGAATGATTCTGTTACCCTGACAGTCTCCAAGTTATCCAATAAATGCTACAATCAGCAAACTCACCTTCTGCCCATTCATGCCTGGGGTCCCAGGTGCTCCAGTGGAACCCTAAGGAAGCACATGATTAAATTTAGTTGACATTATGATCAATATTTCAGTTCTAAATCTGTACAGTGTTTGTTACATCAGCCACAATGTTACATGGTTAAAACTTACTATAGCTCCCATACAAAAGGTTTTAAGATTGTGGTTTTTTCTAGACTTTATCCTCTGTGTTCTAGTATTTAGTAATCTATACATATCTTCATACTTTCGTAGAAAGTAGAGATAACATTTTATATTCTTTCTGAATACTCACTTAACTATGATGACGTAAAGACTCTCATATAAATTGAAAGCTTAAATATTCAGGAGGCCACAAGGCTCAAAATTTTCATTTTAAAGACATAGATAATTTAGTTCCACCAGGGAAAAGCCAAGCCACAGCAGCGACTCTTGAACTTGCCAAATTTATAGAACATAAACAGAAGGTAATTAAAAAAGCAACTGATTACTACATGAGGAAGCTATGCTGGAAACTCAAATTTGTTATATTCAGACCACTTTCCCTCTGGGCTTCCAGGAAGCATGTTAAGTCACCTAAGTATCGATAAGGCTTCTAAAGTGGACGAGAGGGCATCACAAATCTTGTGCACTGACCCGAAACAACATAACTTCTGAATTTTGAAGCTGAAGATCCCTGCACATGTAAACATGAACACGTATACCCATTGTCTGAAAATGAACAGTCAACTGTGGATGGCTCAACTGAGGGAAGGAAAGCCAGTCACTACCTGAAATAACACAAGGCACCTAAGTATTAGTAAATATTTTTAAAAGGCAGTGCCATTTCTCCCCTTCACCACATGCACTTTAGGCTCTGGGAGAAGGGGTGTGTGTGTGTGTGTGTGTGTGTTTGCTTATTCTTAGTGTAGAGCAAGAAAACAGACTTTTAGTTATATGTTAAATTTCTTTTATAATAATGGAAGAATTTTTATTAAATAGGCATGATAATCATGACACTGTTCTAAAAAGAGCTCACTGGAGAAAACTTATATGCCAAACAAATTGAGCTGGCAAGTTTCTTAATGCAGCCCATGATCCTATGGGTCTGGAATTAAAGATCTTGCAGCCTGGAGCCGGCATTTTATCCTGGTTGCACGTGGATCAGGCTAACTTTACAATTTCACACTGAGCTTTAATAGAGACATTATTATGAGGGACAAAGTGTTCCGGCACGCAAGAGGTCTCACAGTGCAGGGACTTGACTTGGTTTTGAGGGATTGTGTTTCAACAGATGGCACATGCCTGGCACTTGGGGATAAAAAGTCTCTATCTTTGATGAAGTCCAAGGATGAAGAGCAATCACTTTCCCACCTGTTACAACACAATTGTTTTCTGCGAGTTGGACATCCTCTCCCTCCCTGTTCAGGGTGGGAGGTTAGCAGTGATGGCAAAAAGCCATCTCTCTGCTGTTGCTGTGTATTCGCTGCTAAACCATTGCCGTGTGATCTCAGACTTCTAGATCCTCCCCTTTAAAATGGAATTTGGTGATGGTGGCAAAGACTGAAATTATAATCAGGAAGTCACTTTTCAGTTTCCCTCAGCCAAGGGGGACAGTGAGTGAGCCAAACCGAGCAATGAATCAAGCAACAAGCATATCCTCTACGTGGGTCAGTTCTGTGGCCATTTGGCAGTTATATGGTTGACCAAGGCCAGCAATCAATTTGCAGTGTCACATGATCCTTCATGTTGTAAATGCTGTCAGAATGTGTTAACAATATTTGAATTAAATATTCCATAACCTACGAGTTCGGCAGACAGCTCAAAATGTCTTCTCTGGACTTACTGAACATTCTGCAATGGAGCAGAGAGGAAATCTAAGGCCCATCCTGATGTGCCTTAATAAAATGGTTTAGACCAGCCTGGTCTACAAGAGCTAGTTCCAGGACAGGCTCCAAAGCCACAGAGAAACCCTGTCTCGAAAAACCAAAAAAATAAAAAAATAAAATGGTTTAGAAAGCAGAATACGCAAAGGGCACTAACCCCATTAGCACCGGCTATGGTTGCTAATTCCACCCACTTCTCTTGCTCTCATTAGACAAAGCAGAGTAAGTACTTCCTTAACACTGATACACACACCCTACCTTTTGTCCTGGAGGCCCCAAAGGTCCCTAAAAGAGGAAAAACAATTCAATTAACATAATACTACTGCCATTTAAACTTAGATGATCAGTCAGCCAACAATCAAAACAAAGTCATCCTATTCTGTAAGGTTCCCTCTGCTGTACTAAAAAATGCTGAAAAGGAAAATCCTCAGTTGAAAATACAATATATATATTTCTCTTTTATAAAGAAAATGGTTGAGGTCCCAGTGCATTATTGCTTGATATTCCTGTGATCTCTCTAGCCAATCAGTCTCATTTGGAGGGCCAGGGACATTGTTGCTAGAAGCAGTTAGAACGCGACACCATTCTCTAGAAAACGGACAGATTACATGGTGCCTTCATTAGTACAGCCCTGGTAAGTAGGCTTGCAAGCAAGGCGCCCTGTTGTGTTTTATTCTTTGGAAACGTAATCAAGTGACCTGAGCAAAATCTTGTTTACAAACTGGGGAGGCCAAGGCTAAAGGCAGCGCCTGAGAAGGGAACGGGGATGCTGCCAGCTCGTCAGACCTCTCTGAGAGGCAGGCAGACTACAGAACGCAGTGAGATGAAGGGGAATGTTTACTTAGAAAATGCAAATACAGTGACAGTCATGAAATTAAGCAGTTCTCAACCACAAAGCCAGTGTTAGGATCTGTTGACTTAATTTAGATGACAGCAAGGTTTTCCAACAGTGAAAAAGAATACACAAAGCTACAACCTCATTTCTGACTCCTTATGTCTACTTTTAAGTAAAGGTATCAGGCATTTTTTTTTTTTTTTTTTTTAGTTCCTTAAGAAGCGTATTTGATTTGGGTGTGTTTTAGTGACTGTAGAGAGGCCACCATTTACACAAGAGCTCTTCAGTGCATCATGCTACCCTAGCAGCTTATTTTCATGTGGCATTGCCATTGATCAACATCTGCCGTCCCTACTCTGTAACATGGTCTAAAACATGAGCACGATCATCAGGGGAAGACTGGGTCAGGCGTGTTAAGGAATGAGCAGATACAGTGTTTAGAAACATCCAGAGAACTTGCTCTCCACTGCTGTTTTTGTCCCAAGAAGACTCATTTCCTCTATAATCAGCCCCAGGTTATTGAATGTACGCTGGGTCATACCAACTCCCAGTCCTCCTTGCCTTACTCTGTTGAACAACCAGAACCACCAACTGTGTTTCTAATCGGCTTGCTATCTGTGCCTCTGCGGACATTCTCCCCACCCATCTCGCTCTGTTTGAAATCCTCCGTTTTAGCTTTTGCAGAGAAAATAGACCATTGGGTGTAAATCCCATCCAGATCACATCTCTCATCAACCCAAGCCCACATGGGCCTCAGAGGAAGAAGAGCCCCTCCCTCCTCACAAGGCCAGTTCATCAGGTAGACTCTGGAATCCATCCTTGCCTCTGCCCGGGGGGACCTTTCCAATCAATTCCCCCTGCATCTGTATCAGCCTGCTCTTCCCCACCAGGTCTTTCCCGTTAGCACATAAACAGGCTTAATCATTTCCTCAGTGGTGTAAACTGTTTGGGGAAACGAACGTCAAAGCTAAGCAAGGGCAGACATTGCAAAGCCGTGATAGGGAATCTGAGAAGGAAGAAAAGCTTTGGGTTTATCACTGCCCAGGATCCCATCTTCTCAAGAGTCTCCGGAGGGTTTCCCTTCCTGACGTGCTGGGGTCGGGAAGGAAACTCTGTGATGAGGACTGCATTGATTCAGCGTTTAGACAGAGGATGTATATGCCCAATTCTCAAGGGCTGCATTCCCATTTCAAATATAACTTTGCCACTTGAAAAAACATCATTCGCTAAAATTGGGTATTCCATTTCAAGGGACTATTTCAAATAAAATAAGGAAACCGTATATCAAGAATTATAAGTGGAGACTAACAAACATGGCATTTTTTAATTTTATCTTTGTTGCATATTATATTAAATATTATTTGTCATATTAAATCAGGGATTTAGAAAGACTAATCATATAAAATCAGACTAGGATATTTTAATGCAATATTTAAGAAAAATCAAATAACCAAAGAAATTTAGTGTATTTTCCATTCAGGTTTAGGAATCTAGTGTTATTTTTGTAAACTCATAAAAGCAGTTCTTTAAGAAAAACATTAATTTTGAATTATGAATACACCTCTTATAGATGATTTGCAAGTCTTCTGCCAAGATATATTCTCAGTTACAAAGAAGGTACATATAGTTCTTAAATCTCACTGAAGGAAAAATGGTTGGGAGCCAAGGAGAGCGCCACCCGTTACCAGAAGGGAATCAGGAGTTGAGTCGAGTTGAATACAAGGGGTAGGCATACTTTTGTGTAAGTAAACAAACACTTGTGCACACACACACACACACACACACACACACACACACAGATACATAGTTTATTAAACTAAATGAGATTTTTCTTAAGTATGTTTCAAATATGTTTAATTTGATAACACTCATATATCTGTGATAATGTAGTAATTAAATATAAATGTATAACTTAAGGTTTCCTAAGGTTTCCTTAAGGTTCAAAAACAATTTTGAAATTAAAGCATGTTGTTACCAGCTCGTTAAGACATGTATATCTCATTAGCCTTGTTTCTGGTACAAATGTGAATTTATAAAGTAATAGGTAATACTGTAGACTCATTCATTAGCTCATGTAATCTTTGAAAAAAGCTATTGCTTGTGGCGTGCTTGTGTTTGTGTGTCATGATGTATGTATATGAATATGAATACATTCTATGCTGTCTATGTGGAAGTGAGAAGTCTTTTCTCTCCTCCCACGGGGGGTTCTGGGACTCAAACTAAGGTGGTTAGGTCTGTGTAACAAGTGCTTTAATCCGCTGAGCCAGCTTGCTGGCCCAACTTGTCTAATCTTAAACTTACACTTTCAGCCTAAATAATGGCTTGGATGAAGGATATCATAAATGCATTATTCACTAGTGAACCTAATGCTCTTTTTATTGCTAACATGAGGATTCCAGTAGTTCAAGACTTCCAAAGTAGTTCTATATAGTGTTATATCAATAATTCAGTAAGTTTGGATAAGTCAGTTTCTAGAATAGAATTATAATCCATTTGGTCCATTTTTCTTAGTACAGCATTTCTTCTTAGACATTTTTCTTGGCAGGTGCATTTATACTTTTGAGTATTTTTTTGCGCATAATCAAAATGTAAATTTGTTTTTTCAAAATAATTCCTGCATGTTTTAAAATTAGAAACAATATTATATATAGATTACCAACATAGTAACATTTCTTTAAGTTTAACTTAAGAAACTCAAGTATAATTTGAACTTTGAAATATCCTCATATCAGTATAGATTCTGAGTGATAAAAGATATGTAGTTTTCATTGAAGAATTCTGTGTAGTGGAAATAGTTTTATTTAAAGGATTAAAAGACATTGAACAATTCTGTGTGGAGTAGTACTATTATACTAATGTTAATGTATATGCAGCTCATTATTTTATGTATACATTACTTAATGTATACATAACTCATTATTTTTATGATCTGCCAGAAAATGGTAAAGAGAATTATACAAAACAAAGTTTAGATAGAAGATTATAAGCAAGAATTATATAATATACTTGATTGTCCTTTCTTGTTTCTTCAACTCTGCTAAATTCCACTCTAATGATTATATACAATATTCAATATATAGTGAGCAAGTAAGTCAGACAAATATGGCAGCTCCCAAGGGAGTGATCGTCTTTAACCAAAGGCATGTTAGCTCAGGTCTGAGAGTCGCTTGACTCCTGCCTAAGTCTATCAGGCTTCAGCTGAGTAGAGCTTCGTCAGGCAGACCAGACCTGGGAAATGGGAAGAATGCTAGTGACGAGGGGACAGGTGCAAAGGCCCAAACTGAGGAGCACATAAAGTTCCAAAGAACACTGCAGGACAGTCGGTGGGTATTAGGAGGAGACGGGAAATGGATAGAGAAGGTAGAATGGAATTGTCCTATCTAGTCAAGACCTGGAAGACCAATGGGCTTACTTAGACTATGATAAAAATGATAAGAATGGTTATAGTCATAGAATACATAGTCAATCCATTTTTCCCCTTCTTAAACCTTAAGCATAATGTCTCAGGGGAGGAAAGACAAGCTTTTATTCTACTGCTTGAGTCATGTTACTGCTACTGGCTTATAACAGTAGCTCCCAAACTACTAGAGTTATCAAATTCCTCCCAAGTGATTTCAATCCATAGTTTCTACAGAGCAATAAAGCAAAACTCATCTTAGTTACCCTGTACCACGTATGGTAGAACAGCAGCCTAAGGTCGCTAACGTAGTGCGGGAAGTCATACGGAGAGTGGATTGAATTATCATTCCAAGATAATCTTCGAAGCAGGCAGCCAAGAAATAAGACTCTACAAGCAGCATGCACCAGCTACAGTTCCTACTTTACATATATTTTAAGAAGCACTTTCATTGATGGATCACTGTTTGGGAAAAAAATGAATTTCTCTGACCCTAACGACACGAGCACAGATTTGACTAAGGCATTAATTGCTTAAACAGGATGCTGAGTTGCTAGACGATGTGCTTTAGGATGCCTCTTGGGAGATGTTTTAAAGCAAGTTCTGGTTGCCTGCTATTAGGAAATGATGTAGGGGGTGGACACAGTTCCTGTTCTGTCCCTGATGGCTAACAGTAAAATCCAAAGCTCTGGAAGCTGCTGGTCATTGCTGGATGCAAGAATATACAATCAACTTCTGTAGAAAAGAAAAAGAAAACACGGAGAAGAGGACAGAAGCCCAAAGTATTAATTCATTTAAAAGAACTTACTTTTGACTTTAAAATGTCCCCTTGTTTTAATAAAAGGCAGCCAAAATAAAGGAAATATTTCTCGAAGGTGATTCCAATGGGAAGAATCATGAGATCTGCATCATATGTAATCTTAAAACCTAAGCCCTGGGCCTTCTCAATGTGCTGGTGTTACAAAATTTCATCACAACTTTTGAGAGATAGTAATATACCTGGTTAAATGCATCACAAGGTCACAAAATTCATAATGTTGGCGTATAAAGAAG